AAAACATTTAAGACAAATATTTTATAGTACCTATTTATTTTCTACAGTACCTAAACTATATTATTATTTGTTATGTAAGATTATAGTATTAAATTTTAAATATGAAAAAAATAATTAGACAATCATTTCATTCAAAATATTTCGTTCAGTTGTTCAGTATAATTATTTCAATGTTAAATTAAAATTTTGTTTAAAATTATTAACGAGGGGGAGTGGGGGCGTAGTCTCATCCCCGCGGCTTTGGTTCATAAAAAAAATTGTAGCCCCCCCCCCACATTTTTCGATGGATATCCGCCAATGGCACGAAGGTCCACAAGCTATGTTATCGTCGGTACTCATGTGCTACTGGCCAATTAACGGCCGAAATTTAGCACGAAATATAGTAAACAAATGCGTTGTTCGTTTCAAACAGAAACCTATTATAATGCAACCGATAATGGGTGATCTACCTAAACATCGAGTATCTCCAGGCCGCGCGTTTCTAAGATGTGGAGTAGACTTCGCCGGGCCGTTTATGGTTAAAACTAGTATTCGAAGAAATGCCCCGAAAGTGAAGTCTTATGTAAGTGTTTTTATTTGTTTAGCTACGCGAGCTATACATCTCGAGCTCGTCAGTGACCTGAGCACCTACGCCTTTATCCGCGCATTAAATAGATTTTTTGACCGGCGTGGAAAAAGCATTGTAATCTACTCAGATAATGCAACGAATTTTGTCGGAGCAAACCGGAAATTAAAGGAATGGTACCAATTATTTCATAGTGACGAAAATAAAAAAAGGACTATGGATACGTTATCAGATTTAGGCATTGATTGGAAATCCATACCCTCCCGTTCACCTCACTTCGGGGGTCTATGGGAAGCAGGTGTAAAATCTATGAAATCCTTATTATCTAAAATCTTGGGTGATTCGTACTTCACTTACGAAGAGTTGCTAACTATTATAACCMGAGYAGAGGCGTGTCTAAATAGTCGTCTAACCCTTATGTCCTCCGATCCTAGCGATATGTCACATTTAACTCCCGGGCATTTTCTCATCGGTGACTCTCTCCGCCATACCAGAAGTTGATGAAACGAACGTACCAACAAGTTATCTATCTYGTTGGCGACGCGTGTCACAATATTCGGATATTCTATGGAGACGGTGGAGTAAAGAGTACCTGTCTCAGCTTCAGGAACGGTCAAAGTGGGCAAGCGAAAGGGGTGTAAAACTGAAGGAAGATTCCATCGTTATCATGCGCGAGGAAAACCTTCCACCAATGAAATGGCGTTTAGGTCGGATTATCAATGTCATACCAGGGCAAGACAATGTCATACGCGTGGCTGATGTTAAAACGGCGAATGGAACATTTCGTCGAGCCGTCAGGCAATTATGTCCATTACCATTTGTGGGTAATTGTAATTTGTAAAAAATATTTATTTTTTGTTTATTTAGTTTGTATAATATGCCTATTAGGTGTAATTAAGATAGGTTTATATGTTGATTATATAATTTGAATTATTATTTGAAATGTTATTTCAAGGCGGGCGGCTTGTCGCGTATACTCATTATATTTTATTATTTATGTTAACGTTTTAATGAGTACCTATATTGTCGAAATCAAATTATTATTATTGTTATTATTAATGGTAATTGTCGCTCGACCGGTGTCTCCCAACTGCACTGCCGTTAGTCGGACGTGAGCACTGTGACGAGCCAAATATATACTTATCGTGTAAAATAAAAGCAAATGTTTACAGTCCACTAAATTTAAAGGCGTTAAATTTATTAACCAGCGAACAATTACCTTTATTATACTGATACTTACAAACGATTTACATATCACATATTATGTTTGATTTATACTTGGTGCCATATCCTATATTATTATATCTAGCCAAACAGGTACTTATTTGGATCATTTAGCACATTTATCCTTATTATATTATTATTTTATACTTRGTTTCCAGATRCAATTGTTATATATATCATATTAAATTAAGGCACTGTTACTTAATCCTAAATCTCAATTATACAGTCCACTACAATTATCTTTCGAACATCTTAATATCCTTGCCTWAGGCACTGCTGCCTATTGTTGTGCAACAGCTGATAGGCGCAAACATTGGTCCTTCGAACCGGATATGATAATACACTATTAGTGATTATTCTCATTAGACCATTACAATTATTTAACTATAGTTAACATTTTTGCATTCTGTCAATTATCCTATATTACTGAACTATAGTTAACATTTTCTTAAACATTACTTAAACCATACTATATTACTGACTATACTAAACATTTTTGCATTACTTCAATAATTTTGGTTTATCTAAAAATAGCTTATATCTTGTGTTATTTCAATTGTTTTATCGCAGCTCTATTTAATATTACTATATTATTGTAACAAAAGCCTCTTGTATTCATCTGCCATCGTTGGAATCATCAATCAACATGGAATCCAATCCCGATAATGAACCTGTGATCCCATTTGAGTTGAAAAGGTTGATTTGCAAAAGAAATGCTGAGATGAGATCAATAGGAATAGTCAAGAAATATGTAGAAAGGTTTTYCTCAGTAATTCATTCATGCAATCAGTTACGCGTCCGATTAACAAGGTTAAACGAATACATAACATTATTTGAAGAGCATCAGGCCGAAATTGAAATACATAATTGTGTCAC